GTCATGATCTCAAGTCAAGGTCCTGATCTCATGGTTGTGAGATCAAGCCCTGAGTAGGGCTCTATCTTGAGCGTGGACACTGCTTGTGATTCTCTCTCTTCCTCTGTCTCTGCCCCTCCCTCGCTCCCTCTCTCTCTCTCTCTCTCTCAAAATAAATAAACACTTAAAAAAAAAAAAAAAAGAATGCCACACTGATTACAGTCACTACAAATCAAAGCTCCAATAAGTGTAATACTAAGATCACTCCATATTTTTGCTAGAGACAAATGGAATTTCAAAACATTCCTCTGAAATGTTTTCCCTTCCCTGAGATCTAATCCTGAGAACAGTCACTGCCTTAGAAAAACAAAAATATAGTGTACAGTGGTGGACTATTTAAATAATAAATATATTTCTACCACAGTCATTATTCACTGCTGAAAGAAAAAGGAGTTCAATAATAAGCAATAAACAATCTTTGAATGTTGTGCAGGAGTCCAGGAAAGATAAAAACCAGAGACCAATACAGGGTCTCGGGTTGCTTCCCATAACATTTCTTTGATTACACTGACCCCTGGTGGCCCTTAAAGGACTCTCTTTTCTTTTCTTTTCTTTTCTTTTCTTTTCTTTTCTTTTCTTTTCTTTTCTTTTCTTTTCTTTTCTTTTTCTTTTCTTTTCTTTTCTTTTCTTTTCTTTTTTCTTTTCTTTTCTTTTAAATAAAAGTGCTTAGATTTCCTTAGTGTGTGCCTTAACATTATATAACCTGGCAGTAATCCTTTCACAACGTGTATGTATATCAAATAATCATACTGTAAACTTAAGTAACCTATCCTTTTGTCAATTGTACCTCAATAAAATCTGGGGAAAAAACACTGTATCACCAAGTACCTGATCAATATGCTGGTCTTTTCTAAAAGATAAAGATGCCTTATGGAATGTGGAAAAGGAGACATTATATGTATTTCAATACTAATGATTATTAAATACCTTTAATACACTCATCTAATAAATACTGACTGATATCCATGTGTGAAACACGTGCTAAGTCATAGAGATACAGATGTGAACAAGCCCCAAAAGACTACAGTCTCTTAGATGCCACCAGTTAAAAGTGACATGAATGAACCAAGAGAAGCACAGAGTGCTATGGAGATGTCTACAGGGATTAAGCCATTCAAGGGTGGCACTTAACAAAGCTGAAAAGGTGGGCAAAGCCCAAATCTTGTAAATGATTTGAATTTTTTAAGCACCTACCTTTCCTTGTCTTTCTTTTCCTAATCAATATGACCAAATCAATATGACAGATCCGGTCCACAAACCACTGCATGAGAAATCCTGTTAATTTTCAACTTATGATCTCACATCTTCCAAAAGTCTTTCTCCACTATTCTATCACCCTCTGTCTTCTAGTACATATCCTGTTCACCACTCACTGAACAAATTAACTTCTTGGAGGCTGCCACCCAGCTGAGATTGTCCCTGGCCACCGTGCGGAAGTGCCTCTGAATGGACCAACAGTGGACACTGACCCAACGGAAGTCCATCCACAGCCACCAACAAAGAGGGTTGCTTGAAGGACTCTGAGATGACGGTTATTCAGATGAGCCGATGCGACCAGTCCAGATTTGGACTAGAAACACCATAGAGGTTGACAGAAGAGTGAGGGGAGAATGACGCAGCCAGAGAGACAGAATGAGACGCGATCCCAAAAGCATCAGCACTCATCCTTACAATACACCTTCTTTATCCCGTGCTAGTCCAAGTCACCCTGCACCCTTAGAAGTACCTGATGAGGGAAATACAAATCAAACCACAATGAGATACCACCTCACACTTGTCAGAACAGCTAAAATTAACAACTCAGGAAACGACAGATGTTGGCAAGGGTGCAGAGAGAGAGGAACCCTTTTGCGCTGGTGGTGGGAATGCAAACTGGTGCGGCCATTCTGGAAAAAAGATGGAAGTTCCTCAAAAAATTACTGATAGAACTACCCTACAACTCAGCAATTACACTACTAGGTATTTATCCAAAGGATACAGGAGTGCTGATTCGAAGGGGCACATGCACCCCAATGTTTATAGCAGCACTATCAACAATAGCCAAAGTATGGAAAGAGCCCAAATGTCACAGACTGATGAAGAAGATAAAGATGTGGTACATAGATACAATGGAAGATTACTTGGCAATGAAAAAGAATGAAATCTTGCCATTTGCAACAATGTGGATGGAACTAGAGTATATTATACTAAGCAAAATAAGTCAGTCAGAGAAAGGCAAATATCATATGATTTCACTCCTATGTGGAATTTAAGAAAGAAAACAGATGAACATAGGGGAAGGGAAGCAAAAATAAGATTAAAAAAAAAAAAAAGAAAGGAAGACAAACCATAAGAGACTCTTAAATACAGAGAATAAACTGAGGGTTCCTGGTGTGGTGTTGGGTGGGGGGATGGGCTAAATGGGCGATGGGCATTAAGGAGGGCACTTGTTGGGATGAGCACAGGGTGTTATGTATAAGTGATGAATCACTAATTTCTATTCCTAAAATCATTATTACACTATATATGTTAACTAACTTGAATTTAAATTTAAAAAATAAAATAAATTTTAAAATTAAAAAAAAAAAAAAATACCTGATGGACCTCACTGACTCAGCACCTCAAGATTCCTCCGCTGTCACACTGCCTTGTTTTCTTGTCATGCTTACGTTATTCAACTTTTATTATATTATCCATGTCAGCACAACAATGATATAGAGGACAGAGATTTTGCATGTTTACCTCCTTATTTCCACAACTGCCCTATACGCCCTCACATATTTGATACAGGGACAGATAGATGGAAAGACAGACAGATGGATAGATAAACAACTGATCCTGGAGAACTCTATAGTGAAATCAAAGGTGGGAACTAAGAAAACCCTAATTCCTTCACACTCACAGTATATGTCCTAATCATCAACTCCCATCATTCTCCACATGTGCCAGTAACACCAAACTTCTCCCAAACCCCCAGACCCGTGAGGCTCTCTTCCATCTTCCCAACCTCTACACACAGCCTTCTCTCTGTGAAGTCTCACAAACACTGACTCTCCTCTTCCTCCATAAGCACAAATGTCTGGCTCCCCTAGAGCTCAACACCCCCTCCTCCAGGCTTCCCTGAGCCCTATACACACCTCTACACTTTCTCACTGCCCACCTGTCTCACCCCTGCAGCACACCCTCTCCGCAGGCACTCTTCATGGATGCTCAAAAACCATGTGCTGGCTAAGAGAGACTAGATCTGCTTTTAGGATGTGACCCCTTCCTAAAAGCAGAAAGGAGAAAATTTTTTTTTAATTTTTTTGGTACACTTATCCCACTTAAGGTCTTATGTTAATGAATGATTATTCCTTCTAATAAAGTGGTTCTCAGTGGGGAAGGGAGAGGGTATTTTTTCCCCGTGGAGAGTGACGATGCCTGTAGACAATTCTGTTTGGCACACTTGGGCTGCTACTGGCATCTGAGGGGCTGAGGCTAAAGATCCTGCTAAACATCCTACAGTGTACCCAACCATGCCCACAGCAAAAAAATTTTGTCCCAAATGTCAACAGCTCTTTTAATAGAACTATTTTTAAAAGCTCTTATTTGGGGCGCCTGGGTGGCTTGGTCGGTTAAGTGTCCGACTTCAGCTCAGGTCATGATCTCACAGTCCGTGAGTTCGAGCCCCGCATCGGGCTCTGTGCTGACAGAGCGTGGAGCCTGTTTCAGATTCTGTGTCTCCCTCTCTCTCTGCCCCTCCCCTGTTCATGCTCTGTCTCTCTCTGTCTCAAAAATAAATAATCATTAAAAAACAATTTTTTTAAAAAAAAGCTCTTATTCACAAATTTATATATTTTTTAATAAACTCCAGAGAAAAATGGGACAATATTCAATGAATCTTCAAACATCACACAGGGATGCACAGGAGAAAACCTAAGGCAGAGAGATGAGTCTGCCCTGTGAGATCTCAGAGCTTCAAAGGTTGGCAACAAACAAAGGAAGTAGGTAGAGGAGTTGGGGAGAAAGAGGACTTGGGGAACAGAAAATTGGTGTGGTCGTTTAAAATCACTGTTTCTTTTTTTTTTTTTTTGTATGTTTTAATGTTTTGTTTTGTTTTGTTTTGTTTTTTGAGAGAGACAGAGAAAGCACAAGTGGGGGAGGGGCAGAGAGAGGGAGACACAGAACCTGAAGCAGGCTCCAGGCTCTGAGCTGTCAGCACAGAGACCTATGCGGAGCTCCAAAGCATGAAACGTGAGATCATGATATGAGCCAAAGTCAGACACTTAACCGCATAGCCACCCAGGCACCCCAATCACTGTGTGTTGTTTTTTTTTTTAATTTTTTTTTCAACATTTATTTATTCACTGTGTGTTTTAAAACAATGATAAAGTAGGTTAGTCCAATCTCATCAGGAGTCATTCAGAGACATAAAATTTGCTAAATTATAACTATGTATCTGTAGGTTAGTTTTAAAATACTCAACGTATGCACTGAATAAGTAAAATAAACATTAATCAGTTTTACATTAAACACAAAACGTTTTGTGGCGCCTGGGTGGCTCAGTCAGTCGAGCATCCGACTTTGGCTCAGGTCATGATCTCGCACTCTGTGAGTTCGAGCCCCACGTCTGGCTCTGTGTTAACAGCTCAGAGCCTGGAGTCTGCTTCAGATTCTGTGTCTCCCTCTCTCTCTGACCCTCCCCTGCTCATGCTCTGTCTCTCTCTGTCTCTCAAAAATAAATAAACATTTAAAAAATGCAAAATGTTTTAACCTTCAAACATTGTATTACAGAAAAAGGCAACTATGGCTAAAACTCTAACATATTACAATGAAAGCTAATCCATTGATAAACACAGTAAATTCAAAATACACCCCTTAAATTATCTAGATGTTCAGATTAACAATTTTCTGTTCATTGAATAAATGACATTGGAGATATTTCCCCACCTGACCTAATTAAATCACTTTAGCATTCCCCCTGAAAATATATTTATACTCACATTCACTTGAACTTGAATGGACCAGTCACCAAGTATTGGATGGGAAGATAATTGAAAAGTTTTGGAAACGATGCCAAGATCACTTTGTTCTGACAACCACTGTTGGATCAAATTGGACTTGGGGTCCTACAACAAAAACCGTACATGTTAACTATATAAATACTGCCGCATACATGTGTTATGAATGATGCCCTCCATGCAGCACTGCCAGGGACATCCTAAATATGGCACAGAAATACGTTTTGTAAAATTTTGGCCATATGTTACTAAACAGAAGACAAATCAGAATTTCTTCCTTTCTCATACCCTCCTGAGAACATCTTTATTCTGCTCCACCTTCCAATTCTTGGCACCATATTTCCCTCTACATGGAACACACATGACATGTGTAGCACCAAACCTGTGCTGTCATTGTTAACCTAGAGATAACAGACCTTGTGTATGTATTCAGGGCCCACTGCGTGTCAGGCACTCTGTCGTATCATTACCACTCATACATCACTCAATCATCACAACTCTCCCTCAGGGTAGGACTGTCCTCACATTATAGCAAAAAACAGATTCCCAGAGAGGTTAGGTAAACACTCAACTGTAAGTAATCCATGAATTCAGGATTCGAACCCACACACCGTTTAATCCAACAAAATGTATCATAGCCATGTTTAGCCAAGGTTGTGCAGGAAAAACACTTCAGTTTTCCTAGACTTCCCCAATGATCCCGTCATGCACATTCAGCCAAGCCAATCCAGCAGTCATCCCGGACTTCCCTTCACATTCCCAGCCCTGTCGACTCCACCTCTTTAATCTCTCTCTAATCCTCACATCCAGCTGCCATGTCCTGTTTTCTGACTATTACGACTAATCTCCCTCCTCCACTCTTGCCCTCCAATAAATACATCTTCCCTTCTGCCAACAGTGTTGTCCATCTGAAACACAAATCTGAGATTGAGGCAAAGTGGTGGAAATGCTTTGTACAGTTCCTGACATATGACAAGCAGTGGACCACGAGGTGGTGATAGCTTTTGTTTGCCTACAGAATGAGATCTACACTCCTTGACATAGTTTACATAACTTAGCAGTCTGATTCCATCTATATTTCTATGCTCATCTTCCTCTAAACAGATTTCTTTGCAATTCACTCCCAAAAGCCCATGCTTCTCAGCCTCTACAATTGCTGCACAGAATGCCCTTCCTTCCTGTCCAATAGGTGAAATAAGCTCCAGTGTCCTGCCTCCTATAAATGCTTCCAACAGACAAAATGGCCACTTCCTGGAGAGTCCCTAGTACATCTGGAGTTTACCCCTTTTGAAGACTACCCCTTTTGAGTTTACTGAACTCATGGGTTATATGGGGTTTTTTGTTCCCAGCTAGACTGTGAACTCATGAGAGCAGGGATCAAATATTTTCCCTGATTGTTATTCTCTATCCTTTGACTAGACGTAGTGGGTCAGCCCAGTTAACGGAAGCCAGAAGAAACCTCTCTCCCCAAGTGGGGGAGGATGTGAAAGTCAGAGGTAAGGACAATGCTGAGAATTGAGTTAGGAGTAGTCTAGTAAGCCAGAAACTAATTGTTAAAACCAAAGACCAAAGCAAGTCAAGACTAAGTAGGTCACCCTCCTTGGCAAACTCCTAGGACGGGCGTTGTAATCAGCTGTTGGCTCTCCTGCACCTGCCACAGCATGATGCGTGGGTGAAAACAAAAAATACCTTTTTTCTTCTGTCAGCCTGACAAAAATAAAAAATAATAATAATAATTCCCAGTGTTATTTAAACTGAATGGAAAGGAATGTTCATACTCTGCTGATGCATTATTTGGTGAGGGTATACGCTTCTCCCAGGTGGTACCATGGCCCTACAAAAAAAGGAAGTTCTAAATGAAGTCTTTGACGACTTTGAACCTGGAGGATCTGGACGGTTGGGAGTGAATGAGATAATCCCTCTGGTTTGTCAAGCCTGCCTCAGACCTAGGCCTAACTGTCACCAACAGGAAAACACAGAGAATGTAGAAACACCAGAAGTTTTTACACATCAGGATTCGAACAGACCATGCATGGTGGCACCACAGCAGAACCCAGCATTTGTACGTCACCATCTCCTGCTAGGATGCACACAGGACAGCCATATACAACATGAACAGTGGCCCTGACACAGCCAGAACAGCCACATGCTGGAGATGCTGCAATAGTGGCCCCTTGTGCTCTCTGAGTCACCTTTAGATGGTTCTGGTGCCTCAGCACAGCACAGTACCTGCTGCCTGTGCCAGACTGTCTCAAGCAATAAATCCCCAGCTGGAGAATATGTCCAGTAGGAATATTTCTGCCACTCCTCAGAGTCCTGGATTATGCACTCAGCGTCTGTCTAGCATGTAGAACTGGAGAAGTCAAATCACTTAAACGAGGTGGTCCCCTCACCTCACCAGGAATGAGGTCCTGGTTTTGTCATGGCTGCCCCACACCAGAGTGTCAGGGCACAATCACAAGATACACCCTTAAGGCAACAACAGCTATTCCCATACAAGGTCATTCATCTGTACAAGAAGCAACACTTTCTTCAGGAAGGAAGTCACGGTAGAAGTCTGCTGTGCCAGCTACCATGGAGGTGTTGAAGGCACTGATTTCCATAGTGTCAAGCCAGAGTAGCCAGAGGTAGCGAGAATTAGAGCAGAGGTAGGGCACGTTTTTACCACTGTCAAAAGGGCCCTGAAGGCCTTTTCAACCTGAGAAGGTCAGTTATCAAGGCAGACAAAATTAATAATACCAAACGACAAAAAAAAAAAAAAAAAAAAAAAAAAAAAAAAAAAAAACACAAAACACTGAGCACCCCCTGAACATGCTGTGACTTGACAGTCAATATTTTAGCTACATCCTACAGCTACAGCAATTCTTTTTCTTTTTTTTACAGCTTACTGATTTGACAAGTTTATACACTCTGCTATGCTCACCACAAGTGTAGCTACTAGCTGTCCTGTTAGGTCACTTACTATTACAGTATCACTGACTGTCTTCTTGACCGGGCAGGATGGATTCCGAGAAGTTAGCCTCCCAGCCATCAGTGCACTTCTCCACGTTAGCCTGAAGGTGGTGCTGTACTAGGGAGTACAACTTTGTTCAAGTCAGGGGTTCTTGTTACACTAAGTTCCACTTTTTTCTAAGAGGTTTTGCCAAGAAACCAACTATTCTACACTGAAAGATGTAGAAAACATCACATTCTGGCCCAAATGACTGTTTTTCAGATGGAGGAAGACAGCAGTGTGGGCATCAGTGCTCCCATGTAGCTTCTGCAAGTGGCAAGGCTGGACCTGAGTTCATATCCCAGCCTCACTGCCCGGGTGCAGACAGCAGAGTATGGCAACCCCCTGGGCACTGTTCCCAACCTCTCTGGGTTCCAGGTGGAATTTCAGTCTAAACGCCCCTTCCCGAGCCAAGAGGGCCACATGCTGGCAAAGCCAGTAGGATTTCTCAGGACCACAGGTCTCTCTGAGAAAGCCAAATGTGGCAAGCAAAGTCCAGAGTTGTAGAGAATAGCCCAAGAGTACAAATCAAAGGTTTCAAAGGCAGATCCTAAAGCACCATGGCGAGGCAAAATAATAAAAATGCACAGACCAGCACAGCTCTAAATGCTTTACTTAAATTACTCACTTTAATCCTCACAAAAACCTCTGTGAGGTATTTGTCCCGCATCAGCAGGGTTAGTTCTGGGTTGATGCCTAGAACGGGCAATTTATCAAGTGCTGACTTTCATTACCACAGGTAGAACGAGGCAGATTGGATATAAACCGCCAGAGACAGGCAGGTGACCTCTAAATCCTCCACCTTACACTTAATTTCTGGCACGTACTAAGTTCTCAGTATATGTGGATAAATGGTGAAAGATGATATGACTGCAGTCCATAAAGCCCTGCTTAGAGAGCTACTTGAATTTAGACATGCTATTCACTATGCCAACCTCCTTTTTAGACATTCCATTATACAGTGAAGGCAGAGATTCACAGGACTGCAATTCTTGGAAATTCAAGAAATACACACTGAGCAGCATGCCAGCCGATGTGTTTGCTACAAACACAATCTGGCTTGAAGTTACACGTATACATGTTTGTTTGCTTGATTTTTGTTTGGCTTTTAGTTTAATTTATAACAACAAAGAAGTTAAGAAGAATAGGAAGATGCTGAACTAAAAAACCTAAATTTGCCTTCCATTCTATGTCATTTATCAGAACATTGAAGGAAACCAAGAGGGTTCCCAGGACCAGGGACTTTCAGTTATAAAATCAAGAGAGTCCCAGGCAAACCGGGGTGAGCTGATCACCTTATTTCCATGTAATGATCAAATGTCTAGTATTCTCCTCAGCATAAGTATAGAAAAGCAGGTCCAGCAGGATCTCAATGGTCCTCAACTTGGTTCCCACAGGAAAACACTCAGTCTGACTATCTGCCTCCAGACTATCAGAGTGTGCAAGCAGCAGAGGCCAAATGACTCCCTGCCAAAGGGGTTCCCATAATAACAAGAGCTAATGTTCAATGAGCATGTACTATGTGGCAGGCATAGTTCTAAATGCTGTGCTTGGATTATCTCACAAAACCTTTGTGAGGTATTATTATTACACATTCTACAAATAAAGAAACTGGGGCTCTGAGAGATTAATTTTCTCACACAACTAGCATCTATTCTTCTTAGAGCAGACAGTGATCCTTTTATAAGTCAAATCACATCACGCCTGTCCTCAGAATTCTCCAGTGAATTCTTGCTTCACTCAGAGTAAAATCCAAAGTCCATATCATGCCTAAGAAGACCCTGTATGGTCCATCCCTCCTCCAACCAACATACCTATATCTTACCTCATCTCCTAATATTTGTCCCCTCACACCCTGGTACACTTTCAGCCTATTTTTCCTCCAATGCACCCAACAAGTTCCCACCAGGGCCTTTACACAAGCTGTTCCCTCTGTATGTATGGGCTCATTCTTTTATTTCCTTTAGGTCTCTGCTCAAATAGGGCTCCCCTAACAATCTAGAGAAAAGAGCAAACATAAACACTCTCTCTCTCTTACACACACACACACACACACACACACCAATCCCTTTATATACATATTTATGTGTTTATTTAGTGCCTGTCTCCACACTATTCACTGAAATATAAGCTTGATGTGAGCAGGGGACTTAATCTGTTCGGCTCAGTGCCCCACTCCAGAGCCCTGACCACAGAAGTTCAAAAAATGTTTAACAAATGAATTAATCAATGAAGAAGCAAGGACTGGAGCCCAAGCTAGCCAACTTTGGAGCCTGAGCTCTGACCCCACTGCTCTACCATTTCCCTTCCGAGAGAGAGTATTCTCATGTTGGGAGGGAAGCTTACCCAAGGCTAATTCTAAGATAACCTGACCAGAACTTCGCACAGAGCTTTAGTAAGATGCTTTATTTCTTACTGGCACAGAGTCCCAGTAAGTGCACAGAGCTTTATTTCTATCTGGCACTTACCTTAATTAGAATGTTTAAAGAAGTTTTATAAGGTTTAAAATCTGAGAAGAGTGTAACGACACGAAACTTCACTTCCTGCTTCGGCTTGTACAGGGACTTGTCTGTTTGAATGAAGACAGTCATTCTCTTGGTCTCAAATGATAAGCGCGTACTATTAGAGAATAAGATCTCATCCTGGGCACGTCCAGTTACACGTAGCTCATAAATCCCATCTGCACTGTTCAGAGGTAGCTGGAGAAAATGAAGAGATCAGTCTCATTATTTTACCTCAAAAATGTTTTTAATTATGTTAGAATAGAAAAATTTCTATTTTTTAGGTTTACTTATTTTATTGAGAGAAGGGGGGGAGGGGCAGAGAAAGGAGAGAGAGAGAATCCCAAGCAGGCTCTGCACTGTCAGCACAGAGCCTGCCATCAGGATCAAACCCACGAGATCATGACTTGTCCAAGAATTGGACACTCAACTGACTGAGCCACACAGGCACCCCAAGAATAGAAAATTTAAGTCTATAGTATTATTAAACGTAATTGCCATGTTGAAAAACTTGCCCCTCCTAGGCACCAACATTAAACAATTTGTTTTGCCTCTTAACATCCTGTAGTTTTCTCTCCCGTTAAATTGCAGGGTTCTCAGAATGGAGGGCTCAACACCAGTCACCTTGTCATTTCCTAGCCCAAGTGTACATTCTTCCCAACAGTCACTGTGGGTCAGAATATTTAAGGTCTTTCAACACTTTTCCATGCCTCCCTCTTTGAGGCAGTGAACTGGTGAAAAGCACAATTTGCACAAGACTTGTTTCTTGCCGTATCTCTCTCGAACACTTTTCTACAGTGTGCTCTCTTCCTGCATCCTGCACATCACAGGTCATTATCCTGGAAAGGATGGGGGTGCTGCTGCTTTCCTACTACTATTACCAACAGAATTCTTACCTTCCAGCATTAACAGACTTGAAGCCATACAGCAGTTTACATGACCTGTCATTTTACAACAATCCTTCAGGTGGTGCTCTCACTAACACCATTTTATACAGGGGCTTACAGGAATTTGGGAAGCTGTTCCAGGTTACTAGCTGAGATCCAAACCCAAGATGAGCTATACTACTCTAAGAAAAGCCTCCATATGATGTCTTTAAAGCATGTCTGACAATTCTCTGACTCTCTGCCCTTCAAAAAGTAGAGCCTCATTCCCCAGACTTAGGGACTTGCTTCTCAAGAAAATAATGAAGCTGTGTTAGAGAAAGGATGGCTTCTGCCTGGTTCTCTTTCTCTCTGGGATTCTTCGCTCTGGGGGAATCCAGCTGCCATGTGAGGAGGACACTCAAGAAGCCTGTAGAGAGGCCCACATAGGGAGAAATGAGGCCCCCCACCAACACCCACCACCAGCTCGACAGCCATATGAATGAACTACCTTACAGAGGATCCCTGACCTACTGAAGCCTTCAGGTGACTGCAGGTCTAACTGACATCCTGACTGCAGCCTTGTAATAGCCCAAAGCTTTGGGATAATCAGTTACACAATAGATGGCTAGTATACCTGACTTTTAGTTCGTTTTCATGATAATAAACCTGAGGTTCTGAAACTAAATTCTGGCTCGTGTTGGCAAATAAGTTTTGTCCACAGAAAGCTCAGAGATCCTCCAGTAACTGCAGCTACCTTGAAGCTCACAATATGGATGAGAATATGAAGGAAATGTAACAAGCCACCAATAAAACGGTCAGCAAAAAAATATTTAGGGAGAAAAGTACTGATGCCCACAATTTACTTGGAGACACATTTTAAAAATAAGATGAATTAGGGGTGCATGGGTGGCTCAAACAGTTAAGCATCTGACTCTTGGTTTCAGTTCAGGTCATGATCTCACAGTTCATGAGTTCAAGCCCTGCATTGGTCTCTGCACTGAGCATGGAGCCTGCTTGGGACTCAATCTCCCCCTCCCTCTCTGCTCCTCCCTGGCTTGCTTTCTCCCTCTCTCTCAAAAAATAAGTAAATAAACATAAAACTTTTTTAAAAATAAGATCAATTAATGGATGGAGAGACAGATGGATGGATAGATATGAAATAGAGCAAGTATAGTAAAGCATTAATGGTAGATTCTGAGTGGTGGATACAGAAGTGCTCACTACAAAATTCTTTCAAGTTTTTTTTATATTGGAAAAATTCTTAATAAAATGTTAGAAGAACAATCAGTAGCATCACATTTACATAACTTCTAGTGCCAATTTTTGCTTTTCTTCAATAAATATTTATTGAGCACCTCCTAGCTCCAAATTGTTCTAAGTCCTTGGAATACAACATAAGCCAAAGATGTGTGCCCTAGTAAGGCTAAGAGTCTAGCTTGGAACTTGCATTCTTATATCCTATTTTCCCAAATGATACTTCAGTTCTCAGATTCTTTTAAATAGATATTTTAATACTATAAGCAGAAAATTAAATATGCCAGCATATCATATATATGGCAAAGGTTCATAAATACTTTATATTTAAATAATGATATTTGATGGGATTGCTTTTTATGATTTGGATATAGTTTGATCATTTTTAGTGGCACAGAGCCTCCAGAACTGATAGCAGATTGAAGATTTACGTCAAATTAATAATGCAGAGGCACAAAACTAAAGAGCCCTATTTAACCATGAGAATGCCAAATAAAGAAGCGGAAGTAACACAGACGTGTTCAAAAACACAATCTCTGTGCCCTACTCCATCCTCCATCAGGGAGCTGGCATCGCCTCAGGAGGAGACAGTACTATCTTCATGCTCCTTTCAGCTACCCCAAGTAATTTGCTTTTTTAGCTGCCCCATTAGAAACCCTGCCCACCCTCCATATGTAAGATTTAGGTGATTCAGGATCCTCAAAGCCTCAGTGTTATTCCCAGGGCTGGAAAGTCAGAGATTACAAAAGAACTTGGTGTAACAGTAGACCAGAGGTGACTCTATAAACCATGAGGCATCACCATACGCCTTGTGGTGTCACTGCCGAGTCTGCATGGCACTAAGGATGCTGAGCTGTGGTAGAGAGCTTGACCCTCCACTGTTAACAGTAGAGGGACATAATGTGAAAGAGAATGAAGAAAATAATGTGGATTTTCAGCAATCTTTACGAAGGTTTTTCTCTGTATCGGACCTAGAATGGGTTGTAACCTGCTCCCCACAGTGGAGAGGCCACCAGAAGGTATTAAAAGCACTTGTATCTCTACTGATCCTTCTGCCTTCTTGGGGTCCCAGTTACTGAAAGAGTTCCAGGGATTGGTAATAAAGAGGTTCCCTCATCAGAGACTTCCCACGCCCTTCTCTTATGCAAGAACCAGTTATCTACTCACAGGGATTCTGCAGTTTCACATGTTGAGCTGAGCGCCGAGGGCTGGAAAAAGATACAGTTCCCACAGACGGACACTGCCTGGCAGCAGTACATCAAGGAGCTTTGATCAGCCAAGTACCAACTGGCACCTGAGTGGCACATGCTCATTATGCTAAGTCTATTCTGTGTATACATAAATGCAAATTTCCTGAGTAAATGATTGCTCTTTGCCCAGGGTATTTAAGGCAAGTGTGCTCAAAAAGGTCCTTGGGGAGGGACTCCTGGCTGGCTCAGACAGTGGAACTAATGACTTTTGGTTGGGGTTGTGAGTTCAAGTGCCATGTTGGGTGTAGAGTTTACTTAAAAATAAAATAGAAATAAATAAAAATTGGGGCGCCTGGGTGGTTCAGTCGGCTAGGCGTCTGACTTCAGCTCAGGCCATGGTCTTATCACTCGTGAGTTCGAGCTCGCATGGGGCTCTCTGCTGTCAGTGTGGGGCCGGCTTCAGTTCCTGTCTCCCTCTCCTTTTCCCCTCCCCAGCTCATGCCTTCTCTCTGTCTCAAAAGTAAATAAAAACATTGAAAAAAATTTTTTTAATAAAAATAAATAAAAATTTACAAAAGATCCTTGGTGGGCAAGGAACTAATCTGGGACGACTAAAACCATTTAACCTTCTCTGAAAGATCAATTATCAAGGAAACAGAGACAACAAAATAGGATTTATCCTACTCTACTTCATTAGTTACTTATAATTACTAAAATAAGGAGAGATTTCAAATAACTTTCAAAATAAAATTGAGGGATTTAAGATGACAGTTTCTACTTAAAATATATTTTTTAAATGTTAATTATACATAAAATAAACTTCAAAACATTCCTAACTTTAAAAACCCCTCCCTCATGTTAAGTTGGATTTACTTACAGAGAATAAAAGAAATTTGCCTAAAACATTTTCTGCAAAAAAATAACCTTTATACTAAGCATCAATCATTTTTATTTACTTCTTATTAAAAGTTGATTTTAGTGTATCAAAAATAGAAACAATGAGCTAATCAGATATTAAAAACCATTTGTTTTAATGAAGTCAAAATATTTACATTTTACAGCAAAAATTCATGAGAACCTCAAAAAACAATCTGAAATATTACAAACATCAGAATGCAAGTGCACACTCTGAAAGCTGAGCCTATTTTGACAACTCATAACAACGCAGAACTTTCTATTTTTGCCAAGCATTATCAAATTTTCCCAGACACACTTTACGACTAAGTCTTTAAACTTTTGTTTTACTAGAAAAGGGATATAATGTCTAAGAAAGCCTTCAATAGGTAATTGCTATATCTATCTACAATAGAAATGGCATTACTGGGAAAGACAAATACAGGATTTGGAGTTAGCATTTCCCATAGGTAAGGATTAAAAGAATAATAGCAGCCAAAGCCCAGTTAATGATAGTTTGGACAAGTGCAATTTACAATAAACTGACATTACTGGAACAATCCCAAGCCTAATGCCTTCTCCTTCCAGCCTTTCTACACTTCCAGCCTGTGTAACTATAGGCTTCTCTGATGAAACCAGACAGTTGTACTTTAAGCTGTGGTTTCTGAACTTAAATCCCACCCCCTTCTGCTACAGGACAATTCTATTACACAGGATTTATTTTAAGCTTCTCATTGGAATACTCTTTCAACACCATCATGGCCAGCATCTATTATTTTAGGGTACATAACGCAATGTAATGTTTTATTACCACTGAGATTGGGCTCTCCCCCCATTTCCACCTGCTTTGCCTCTCTTTCCCTACTTCCTATTCAACAATAGAAAAGCAGTTATATTTCTTAAGAGGGAAAGTACAAACATAATAGGTAAGAAACAACAGCTATGGTACATAAGTAATTTTTATAAAGTACTGTTTGGTAGTGCTATATTTTCTAGGAATACCATCCCCTACCACCACCCCTGCAAAAACTAATGTGCTTTCTGAATGTGCTTGATAAGTAACCTTCAAGAAGTAATGGGGGAACCTGGCTCATCAGTTAGTGCTAATCCTACATTAAGTATGTAAAGTATCAGGGCCCAAGTTGTTAAAAAGAAACCACAGGCCCAAGGTGGAGTCATTTGCTCCCAGAACACTAAATCAGGACTTAACTGCAGTTTCAACCTCTCCAGGAGTGGAATTTTAAGCCAATCAATCTGGAACTTTCTGACAAGCACCAATGAGGTAATCTGTCACATGGGCCCTCTCCCCCACCCCCACCCCACCCAACCCAAAGGAAGATGAGGTAATCTGCAGGATAAGACCCCATGCCCTTCCCTTGCCTGGAACAATCCTTTCTTTTCTTTTGCTAATAACTTCCTTGCCCCACCTTCCTTCCTACAAAAACCTTCCGTGTTGTACAACTCTTTGGAGCTCCCCTCTGCTTGCTAGGTGGGATCCTGCCCAATTCATGACTCTCTTAATAAAGCCAATTAGATCTTCAAATTCACTGGGTGAAATTTTGTTTTTTAACAAAGTCATTAGTCAACTGTTCTCAGAAAAGTATACCAAACTGCATCTCTTGTTGGATGCTGTGGTCTACTTTCTCTACGGTACATTCAAAGTGTGAAGCTCCAAAATAAAACATGGTAATAAAAGTACAAACTTCCAAATCAAAGCTATGAGAAGCAGGATCAGTTCACAAACAGCATTTAATCACCAGGTTTTACGACTTTCTCAACAAAATAATAACCCCTTTTCACTTCCATAGCAAATTTTACAGCACTTTCACATCTCATTTCACCTCCAGGGTAAAGTACCCCCTATGAAGGAAGCAGTTTCTTTATCCCCTTTTCCAGAGCTAGGACAAGGGTGGGGTGAGTGAGACCTTTGCCTCGGGTGCAAAACTTAAGGAGGAGCCAAAAAAATCAGTAATCAAGATAAGTAAATTTTTAATATTTTAAAATAGAAAAGGTAGTGCAAAAAATTATGAACACAAAATTTTTTAACAAAGACAGGATCAATATCACCAATGTCTCAGGCTTCAGTGTGGCTCAGCGTCACCCTCCACTTTCTAGGACAGGGAAACCGAGGGGCAGAGTGTTAATTTCACACTCAAAACTTTGAGGTTCAGTAAGGCAGAAACGGCACCAAACCAGCCCAGGTTTCTTGGCAATACTCCAGGAAGGTTTCCCCAGTGAAGTTCCCTGTTTCACAAGCAAAAAATCTTTGCTATGAGTTTGAAGAGGCTAATTACCGATCTCCCTGAAGTAACATTCTTTTAAAAATTTTTTTAATGTTTATTCATTTTTGAGAGAGAGGGAGAGAGAGAGAGAGAGAGAGAGAGAGAGAGAATGAGCGGGGAAGGGACCGAGAGAGAGAGGGGGACAGAGGATCCAAAGTGGGGCTCGAAGCTGAGAGCCAATGCAGGGCATGAACTCACAAACTGTGAGATCGTGACCTGAGCTGAAGTCGGGCACTCAACCGATGAGCCACCAGGTGCCCCTAAAGTAACATTATTCTATTTTTTTTTATAATTTTTTTTTTTTTAGTGTTTATTTATTATTGACAGAGAGAGACAGAGCATGAGTGGAGGAGGGTCAGAGAGAGGGAGACACAGAATCTGAAACAGGCTCCAGGCTCTGAGCTGTTGGCACAGAGCCCGACGTGGGGCTCGAACTCACAGACAGCGAGATCATGACCCGAGCCGAAGTCGGATGCTCAACTGACTGAGCCACCCAGGCGCCCCAAAGTAACATTATTCTTAATTTAAAGGTGAAACTGAACTCAAGACAAACTCACAAGAAACGTAAATTGATATAAAAGTCAACAAAATATTAATTTATTTGTCTCATCAATGCAATGTATATTTCTGAAACCAAATTTTTTAAATGGATACTTACTGATGGAAGAGTAAGTGTCTTGAAAGATCCTAAAAGCAAAACAGGGAAGAAAATAGAGTCATAATTGGAATATGATGATATAATACAAAACTCCCAAGAATCTCCTAAATACTCTTTCAGATGTGGAAAGAATCATAAGCTTACAGAATCACAAACTTATTTGGCCAAAACAAAACAATTTTATTAAATCCCAGAACACCTGACAGATTATTACATATCCTTGTGCTGAAGAATTAGGGAAAGTGGAGCCAGACTTAAAAGGCTATCAGTGGGTGAACCCCCCAAAAAAATTAGTTTAAGTTCTGCTTCTCTTTTCCATTATCATTTTTGTTGTCATTGTTGCTGCTACTCTTGTTGCTGCTTTCAGGTTATACACATTTGAGGGACACTTCAATCGGTGTTGAGGAAGAACCTAAGGTTTATTTCTTACGTTCTCAGACCCTCATGATAAAAGAAGAAAAGGAAGGCATTAGTCATGTCAGGGGTGAGCTGGGACTCATAACTGACTCACTGGTATTAGAGTGAGGCAGACTTTTTTTTCATGTAAAGTTTCTAAACATAGGACTTCTAATTTAACTCATGCCAATTTCTCATCAGATCTAATTATTTCAAGGGAAAAAAAATGTTTCAAGTTAAAAACAAAAGAATACTTATCCAAAGTTCCCATTTAAGTGACATGAGTTCAGAGGTGGTGACAGGTCCTCACAGTTCCTTCATTTAAGAAATATTTGTGAATATTTAAGAATTTTTACCACAATGACAAGACAGACATGGCCCCATCCTCCTGGAAGCCACATGTGTCTATCCGGTGGGAACAGACAGACGCCAGAGCACAGCACAGTACAGAGCAGGGGTTCAACAAGTGGCCTCTGGAATTAGACTACATCAGTTCTAAAATGAATCAACCATGTGCTCACCCCATCCTTGAAAAAGTTACCTGATTATCCAGGCTCCATTTTTTCATCCATAACATGAGCATGCTAATTAATAATAGTACCAATCTCACAAGGTGGTTGTGAAGAATAAGTACGTTGATATCTGTAAAGTGGATAGAACAATGTCTGCCACACAGGAAACACTTCATAACTGTAAGTCATTATAGTGCCAGAAAACCCGAAGAGCTATCCACTGGGGATGTCAGCATGCCTCTACAGCAAGGTCTTCAAATTGTTATAATGGAGCATTGAGTCAATTAGGACATATTACCAATGTCAAGTTAGAGGATCAAGTTACATATATGTACTTTCTCAATCAAAATATTAAATATTAGAAAACCTTAATTCCTTAGTTTTGCTCAATGAAATAGAAGAAATAAAGCTAATACATGTCCTGCCTGCCTACATCCTTATAAATGGTCTTGCACAACCCCCGATGTGCATACACCCACTTTGAAAACCACTACCCTAATGGGCCTCCATGAAATACAAATATGTTTTCAGCAGCAGATAAGCAATTCATCAAAATCATTTATCCCCTAGCAAAGATCAGTTTATCCAATAACTGTCGCCATAGAAAGCAAAGAGCAAGACTCTTAAATAATAGGACAAATGACAAAAAGTGTCTTGAAAAGGAGAAGAAGGAGAAACAACTGAACAGATATAACTCGACATGGAAGCGCTGCAATATAGGGCAGAGACCACCTCAGAGGGATCAGGGGAAGGCACCTAGAGAAAATGATGCCAGAGTCTAGGGTTGTAGGATAAAGGAAAATTAGCCAGATGCGAAAGAAAGGGAAGAGTTTCCAGGCAGAGCAGCAGCAAGTGCAAAAGAGTGGAGGTCAGCATGAGTCTACAGAAGCAAAGAGTTGGCAAAGAGAGGATTATAGAGATGAGGCTGGACCAAATCATGAAAGGCCTTTTACACAGCGTGAGTCCTTGCCAGGATCATTCCAGGTTCTGCTGCTCTCCCAGCATCCTGAGTTAGCATTTGTCCTGAATCTTTTTGGAGCAGCAAAATATCAATATGAGATGGGTTTAATGTGCACAAGATTTAACTCTGAAATACTATAGTCATGCTTTGGGAATATCTCAACTTGTGGGAAGAAACATCTCATCAAGTTCTTATTTTTAATGAGATGGGCATATTCTATACTGAACTGAAGAGAAACTGAGAAGCCCTATGATATTGCAGCAACTAAGTTTGGTGAGACATTCAAAAGCACCATAAATACAGACAATTTACTGGACAAGTTTTGTGTTGTAAAAATATTTGCTGAAGGGAGTCATGGTACTCTCCAGGCAAAAAGACAAACCCTGTAACATATTTGAACTGAAACATTTAAATAGTTCAATATGGGGGTAACGATGGAATTGAGAATATCCTCCACACAGCAGAATTTACTCTGATCTTAACACATACCTCAGCATATGTGAAGAGAGTGTGTTCTCAATTAAAAATGTACCAACAATGAACAACTGGAATTTGAAATTAAAAATAACACCATTTACATTAGCATACCAAACAAAGAAATACTTAGGTTTAAACATAACAAAATGGTTACAATACCTATATGAGGAAAGTACTCTGGTAAATGAAATCAAGGAAGGATTAAATAATTGAAGAGATATTCAATGTTCACGGACAGAAAGACTCAATACTGTCAAGACGTCAGTTCTTCCGAACTTGAGCCATAGATGCAATGCAATCCTAATCAAAATCCCATAAAGTTATTTTATGGAAATCAACAAACTGATTCTAAAGTTTATGTGGAGACGCAAAGGACCCAGGATAGCCATTACAATATTGAAGAACAAAGTTGGAGGATTGATGCTACCAAGTCTAAAACTTACCGTAAAGCTATAGTAACCAAGGCAGCGTGGTACTGGCAAAAGACAGGCAAACTGATTAATGGAACAGAAGATAGAGCCCATAAATAGACCCCTACTAATATGGTTGAGTGATCTCTGACAAATGAGCAAAAGCAATCCAATGAGCAAAGCTGTCTCTTCAAAAAGTAATGCTGGAACAATGGACATCTACATACAAAAAAGTGAATCTAGACAGACCTTACCCCCCTCACAAATATTAACTCAAAACGGATCATAGACTTAAATATAAAATGCAAAACTATAAAATTCCTAGAATATAGCGTAGGAGAAAACCTAGATGACCTTGGTCTTTTTCTGTATAACACCAAAGATACAATCCATTAAAGAAATAATTCATAAGCTGGACTTCATCAAAATCAAAAACTTCTGCTATGCAAACGACAACATCAACACAATGAGAAGATAAGCTACAGATTGGAAGAAATATTTGCAAAAGACACACCTGATAAAGGACTGTATTTTAAAGTATGCAAAGAACTTTAAAAACTCAACAATAAGGGGCACCTGGGTGACTCAGTCAGTTAAGCATCTGACTTCAGCTCAGGTCATTATCTCACAGTTTGTGAGTTTTAGCCCCCAATCGGTCTCTGTGCTGACAGGTCAGAGCCTGGAGCCTGCTTCGGATTTTGTGTGTCTCTTTCTCTCTGCCCCTCCCCCGCGCGCACAGGTGCGCTCGCGCTCTCTCTCTCTCTCTCTCTCTCTCAAAAATAAACATTAAGAAAATGTTTTTAATAAATAAATAAATATTTTTAAAAAATAAAACTCAACAATAATAAAACAAATAACTCGACTAGAAAATGGGCCAAAATATTAATAGACAACTCAGCAAAGAAGATACACAGATGGATGGCAAGTAAGCATAAGAGAAGATGCTCCACATCATAAAGAAATGCAACTGAAGCAATAAGATACCAGTACGCTGGTATCAGTCATTGACAACATCAAATGCTGGCCAGGATGTGGAGCAACAGGAGCTCTCACTCACTACTGGTTTGCAACGCAAAATGATACAGCCACTTAGGAAGACAGTTTGGCAATTTCTTACAAAACTGAACATACTTTTACCATATGATCCAGCAATCACATTCCTTGGCATTTACTCAAGAGTTGAAAACTTATGACCACACAAAAATCTGCACATAGATATTTACAGCAGCTTTATTAATAATTGCCAAAGCTTAGAAGCAACCAAGTTTCCTTCAGTCGGTGAGTGGATAAATAAACTGTGATACATCCAGACAATGTAATATTATTCAGCTCTAAAAATAAATGAGCTATCGGACCATGAAAAGACATGGAGGAACCTTAAGTGCATATTACTAAGCCAAAGAAGCAATTTGAAAAGGCTACATACTATACAATTCCAACTAAAGGACAGCTGGAAAAAGCAAAACCATGGATACAATAAAAAGATCAGGTTGCTGCAAGGTGGCATAGAAAGATGAATAGGCAGAACACAGAGGGTTTTCAGGGCAGTGAAAATACTCTGTGTGATATTATAATGATGGACATATGCCATTATACATTTGCCAAAACCCACAGAATATACAATGCCAAGAATGAACCCTAAGGTAAACGATGGACTTTGGTTGTTTATGATGTGTCAGTGTAAGTTCATCCTTGCTAAAAAAAAATATGTACCATTCTGGTTAGTGATGTTAATAGGGGAGGCTAGGCATATATAGGTACAGGGATAATAAGAGAACTTTGCCAAAAAAAAAGTCTTTATTTGAATGTTCAAATTGTCTGATCATTCCATTATATATATTTGTGTAAATTATATAAATATAAATATATATAAATAAATATATATTCACCATATAAATAAATATTATACAAATAAATAAGTATTTATATTTATTTATATAAATAAATAAATAAATATTATAAATAAATAAATATTTATAAATAAAATATTATAATATTATACAAATAATATTATAAATAAATATACAAATATTTACAAATATTATACAATATTTGTATATTGTATAAATAAATAAATTATTATACAATATAATTGTATATTTATATATTATAAATAAATATAAATAAATAAATAATTATATTTATTTTTAAATAAATAAATAAAATATTATACAAATAATAATATAGTAAAACCTTGGTTTGCGAACATAATTCATTCCGGAAATATGCTTGTAATCCAAAGGACTTGTATATCAAAGCGAATTTCAAGAACC